TTGTTATCCTACGTCTTATCTTTAAAGTTGCATTGAGAGAATGGTTAGGGTAGATTAGAAGCTTTTTATGTCATGTACACTAGGTGTTTGATAAATTGCTTGTATGGGATGGGGTTATGTTGTTTTTTGTCATGGTGAGTCAGTTCATTGTTATCCTGCGTCTTATCTTTAAAGTTGCATTAGGAGCTGGGTTAAGATTCCTTTTAATTTGTGTAATGACATAATAAGTTTTTTTTTTTTTTTTTTTGTATAATATAAATTATACATAAAGACACTTAATATATGAAATTCCCTAATTTACATAAAAAATTAAATCTACTTACTACTAATACTGCACAAATCAAATCAGTCTATCTCTAACTTACTGTCACGCCCCAGAACCCAAATCCAGGGACGTGGCAGACGCCATGCACTCGTGAGAGGGTCCCACAAATGCACAAGGCTCGAAACTTGTCCAATTCAGATCTGACAATCCAATAACTTAATTCAGATATTTCAAAATAATTCCATTTCAAATTAATCATGCTCATTTTTGAATAAAACGGGTTTAATTCCGCCACCACTTCAAAACAAGTTAAAATATACTTTTAAAATCGAAAGGCATTACCATAATTTACTTACCTCAATCACGTAATACCAGAGACTCAAGCCACATACTAAAGTGCCCCAAGAATCAAGAACCTAACCAAATATTCAAGAATTAATTCTATAAGCAATTTCATTGACCGGATTGTGTATATATATTTATATACACAAATACATATATAAATGGTTTCCCAATCTCAAGGATAAAACAATGGGGAACTAGGCTTTTATTTCAATTCCAATTTTTCCCAAGTGGACTCCCGGACAAACAATGGGAAAAACATGGCTTGGCAACACAAGAAGTCACGAGATTTATTTATTTTTTTCTCCAAAATTGAACACTACAATCGGGTTATATATATGCAAAATCACCCATACAAAATTCTCCAATTCTCACGGCAAAAGGGAAGAGCACGGCTTTGGCAAAAACAGGGGCTAAAACACACGGGATTTTCCTCCAAAATCACAGCAACCAACTCAAGCAATTTATACATGAATTAAGCTTAATTATGCTCTAATTACTACCGAAATTCATCCCCATTTTTCAGCAAAATTCGGACAGCATAGGGCAGCAATTTAACAGACAAATTTCCAGCAACTAATGGGTAATTTGGGACTTAAATGGAGCTGCCACTTACCAAAATTCCAGCAAGCAAACCGGAGCTGCAAGCTAAGGGAAGGCCGGCGGGAAGTGCAGGGGAATATTCAAGGGATCTACCGGAAATTGGAGAAACCAAGAGAAATTAGAGTTAACCCAAGCCAAATCAAGTGAGAAAAGACGAATTTCGGGCTGCTTCTTACCAAAAAACCTGAAAATTTCGCCGCCCACCCACCAGCAATTCACGAACAGCAAAGGGAGGAAGACGCAGAGCAGAACAGATCTGGAAATTTCTGGGTTTAGAGAGAGTTCTAAGTCCCAAATCTTGTGATTGAACAAGAAAAGAACAAAAATCATCAAGTTCTCTTACCGATTTTTTTTCAAAGGGGAGGTGCTGTCGGTGGCCTAGCCTTGATCGGCTGCAGGGGAGAAAAAGAAGAGCAGACGCGCGGGTGAGGAAGAAGAAAGAAGGAAAAAAAATAGTTGATGCTTATCCAAATTTTTTTCTCTTTTAAGTCCTTCAAGTTTCAAAATTTTGGCTATTAAATCTCAGAATAATATTTCCTCACAATCAAGTCCTCAACTTAAATGCTAGAATTTCAGAAAATTTGGGATATTACACTTACATTCAACTCTTGGTATATATATTATTAAAAGTTATTGTATAAAATCTCCTCTAGATCTCAATTATACTCTATATATCAATTTTATTGGTAATCAAGCATTAAAAAG